TGTCTAGACTTCACAAGTACATGCAGCCCAGAACTTTGAGTTAGATATTATACAATCTTGACACATTTTGCATCATACAGGCCTCAAAATTATGTAGCTGAAACCAAAAAATTTTGCATTGCATGACGGTCTAGCAGTGCTCCATTGAAACCTCCGCAGCCCCAGCCAGTATTGTAGCTGGCCAATCACAGTGTGTTTATTTAGAATAAAGATATTTGCGTCTTTCTCCCTGCTTCTTCCACAATGTATGGCAGACTGCCCATTGACTGACATTTGTAGTGGTCCAATCACGGTGGTTTATTGGTTTGGTGGGCTAATCACAGCACTATGTTGGCGGGCGGGATGTTACTAAAAATACAAACATGGTGACGGCTTGTTTGAAACGGCTTTGGCATCAACTTTGGACTATTTAGCCTTTGGCTTTTCTTTGAGTCAAGAGCAGATAGAGGTTTATTTAGAAAACGATATATTTGCATCTTCTTTGATAAGAGTATGGCGGACTGCCTTGTTGACTGAAATTTGTAACAGTGAGTATGTCACATTGTTCGATGTCCAATAGCATGCAGATACAGTTTGAAAGACAACCGTAGAGTTCGCCTCATGACAAAGATCTGTCCATGGGTCTTGGCCAGGCTATATGTTCACATATATAGGATGGCTTACCAGGCTAGAAACCACCAGTTTAGGTCTAAGTCTACCTTGTCAAGAAGCATTCTTTAGTTCATCCATTATTTCACTTTCAGAAAGTAACAATGTGACACTCAAACAGCTGTTGACTTTGTTGTGGTGGTTTCACTCCTTTTCTCCTCCTAGTGAATTATCTCACATCTTCTGTTATCATGGTACCCTAAGCCAGCTCGTCTGTTTTTATAGCATGACAGACATAAAACACCTCTACCTTGCTCATCCTGACCTTAGGCTAAACACAATTAATTAGAGTGAAAGGATCAATGTAGAGCCAACCTCTATCGCATTAGAAAAATACCAATCTCCCTGGCTGCCTTCCCTTCAGATAGGCCCTGTATTTGTCTTAGCTTGTGCGTCCTTCACTGAGGTGCCTTCTGCCTGCCTGTCATATATCAGCAGCGCTGCCACTGTCAGGCCTCTGATTTATAGCTGTTTATCTCAAGCCTCTAACCCACCACCTCTATCCCCCTACTCCAACAGATGGTCTCTGGCTATTTACTCAGGGAGACAAAACTTTCAAACTGATTGAATAAATACAACAAACAAGAGGTTTATGAGGAAGGGTGTTGGTGACATCAATGTATTTGTCACGAGAAAAAAAACCAGCAGATCGACCTTATTTGCTTACGAAGTGTGACATTAATCAGATTATTCAGAGGTGGCATTTTTCACCTTTTATCTACTTGCAGCCTTGAAATAGTTTGGCTTACTTAAAATAATACATCTGAATATTACATCAAGAATTTACTGATTAGTGATGAAAACGATGTAATTTGGAACATTCCTTCATCTGTCAGATTCTGCAAGGTTGTCGCCTTAAATCTTTTCAAGCATTTAACCTCTAAATCTCACTGGGTGTGAAAGCTTCCCACACAGCACTCAGACACACACACACTGAACCATAAATTGTGTGGAAGAGTCTTAGAGGGGCTTCATTCTGAGTTCTGGGTCTCTGGAGAAAGGCTTCACCTTGATAGTATCATTTTTCAAAATCAGCCCTATTATTTTTGTTTAGGTACCTGTAAGTATCAGCGTTTTTTTTTTTTTTTTTTTTTGATGGATACAAACCAGATTTTGACCCTTGCACCTGTCAGTCATATATTACACTTTCTGGTTTCTGTTTTGTGTTGTTTAAAGATAAAATAATTGAAAAGGATTTTGTTGGAGGCAGTTAGAGGTAGATTCTCCCAGGATTAAGGGCATGAAAAATTATTCCTTCCAGGCATGTGGTTTAAAAATGAATCTGCATCCATGGAGACGTCTTTGTGGGTTTGAATATCTGACAAAGCGTCTCCGAGTCAGATACTTCTGTCAGGAGACTGGTTTAGTTGTCTGCTTTGCTTAATTTGTGAATAAGAATAAAGTACAGATGGATGTTGGTGGGCCTTATAATGAAGTTAGCTTGTCCAGTTATCACTTCTCACTCATTTGTGGAGCAGAGCCACTTAAGGCTTATCTCAGTCCTAATCAAACAGTAATGAAGTGTAATGGATCCAGGCTGGTATTGCTCTGTCATTTACACCAGATGTGGCCAGAATGTTAAATTCAGAGTTTTTTATGTAGAGATTCCAACAGTAAGCAATATTTGACCAAACTCTGTTTATTGTATGTCTAAAGATAGTTGAATATTATGCAGAATGAACTTTTACTGCTTTTTTCTTTGTTTTGCACCTGATTTTGTTTTGGGTCATCAATGGAGCTGCAGTTAGCATTTCCTTCTACATCTGTTCTGGCTTTGTCCAGACTTTCTCACGATTAAACTTCAGTCATGTGCTGCAGAGCGTAATGACTGAAAAGAAATGGTCAAACAGTGTCAATGAATAAGCAAGCCATAGTTGTTTGAAGGGAATCTTGGGCCACGTTCACAATGTCTTCTTGATTAAATGTTAAGATGTTTTTAAAGTGAAGACATTTAACAACAATACTTGAGTTATATTAGTGTAATAATGGTTCAATCTCATACTTCAGCGTACCAAGTTCTTTTGATAATTCTTAACTACTCAACAAGAACGATGAAGCCTCTGTCACAAACACTTCATACCCGGCCATGGATGTATTGTGTTCATCTTGGTGTGAGGCAGGTTAACATTAACGTACCACTGTAATGCTTCTAAGCCACCTATGGAGGTAGTGTCAGCGCCGTAATGATCGGCACAGTAGAAGGTCGGGCAGGTTTGTGTCTTAGTGGTGTGATGTGGGGATGGCAGATGATTGGGGCAAGCTACAGGATTTAGAATGTATGATTTTGTTTGGATCTCTCTGCAGTCATGCCGCTACACCTCCTTGTGGTATTGGCTTCATTAACAGCCTGCCTCATGATTGGAAACGGTCTACTCATCTGGTGGTTTCTGGTTTCTTAAATGCTTTGGTGACTCCACTCCCTAGCCAGTCTGTGGCCAACAATCCCCTGATGTCGTGGTTTCAGCCTAGCACAGTACATTTGAAACCACAGCAATGCATGCAGAGCCGAGTCGAGCCACGCTGAGTAGGTACTAGTAGAAAAAGGCCACATGTCAGAGTTCATTTTGACAGTCTGACATACTGCTCCTATTGCATAGTTTGTTTCTCAATACCAAGTACACTGGTACGTTCTTGCGTACTTGACAAGTAAGATCTTGGCTAGAAAGTCAGTTTTACTGAGCATGGAAGGACGAGGACCACATTTGGAACAGAACTACCCTACCTTGCTGAGTTGCTAGTACAATATGTGCCACCGCGTGCCCTTTGCTCCTCTGACAAGAACCTACTGATGGTCCCTCAGGCCAAGCTAATGTTTCATGGCAAAAGTGCTTTTGCATTTTTAGCACCGAAACTTTGGAATCAACCTCCACTTGATAAAGCTGGTGTTGCTCGCAATCTTAGGATGACTTGAACTGCGTTTGATCTTTTTGCTTTGGTGGACCCATGGGCATTTACCTAGTCTGCTTGCTTGAGCAGATGTGGACTAGTCCACATGCCACTGTATCATAGCTCATTTAGTCTCTTTTATGTGGTTTTATTTTTTATCTAGTATGTTTTTTAAATCTATCTTCTTTATTGTGCGTTTTTATCTACGTTTTAATATTTATTTGGTCTTTTTTTTACTGTGTTCAGCAATTTGAACTGTTGTGACTGGTGGTGGTAAAGCACTTCATAAATGAAATGAACCATACTTTGTTGCGTCATAGGGTTAGGGTTGGCAGCGCTACCTTCCTACAGTTAAAAAAACAACTCTACATAAAAATAAAAAATCTTGTTTGTCCCCTAAATACTAAAATAAAAATGAATACATTTTATTTGTATAATATTTGGTCCACTTTTGATCAAAATAAATAAAATACCACCTTTTCCCGCTGGTAAATAAAGAAAGAAGTTTATTTTTCATCAAAACAGCTACTTAAGTCAATGCTGTTTTTTTTATTTTGATGGTGAGTTGGCTAAATAGCATTTTAGGGTGATTGTGAAGAGCTTTAAAAAACAAATACATGCTTTTATCATACAACTTTATTGAAGTCATGGTACATTCGTAGCATCTTGTGCAACAGAGTGAAAAGGTAAAGAGTAACCAATAACATCATAAAAGGAGTTAAAGTAAATAATTATTCTTTTCATCTGACTCTTTTATATAGTTTTATGTATGAGAATGAGCACCTGCAACATTCCCGTTAGTCCTTCTAGCTGCCACAATCAGGGGATGAGTAGAAGGAAATGACATCATGGAATTTTTTATATTCAAGCTTGAAAATGTATGGGGGTTATAGGGTTTTAATGGCGCAGACATGGAGTGATAAACAAGGCTGGTAACAATTATGTCCTAAATATGTCAGATGTAACAAATTATATGTTAAATATCCTGAGAAATGTCATTTACACAAAAAGTTTCCTTTTTTCTACCACAAATTGAGTATAATTTGGTCATTAGGCAATTAGAAACACAAATGTTACACATGTTTACCCTAAGTGGTGTGTAGTGTGGTGTGTAGTGTGGTGGGATTGGGGCGGGTTAGTTGTAAGTAGGGAGTCTGACGGTATTTCAGGCCTGCCGCTCTTGGTTTAGCTGTGGTCACCATGAACACAGATGTCAATCAGGAAACGTGGAGCAGCCAAAACAAAAAGTGGAAACGTTAACTCAATAAAGCTAGATAAACAGTGAGAGGAGGAAAGCCAAAGACAACAGAGTGAAGGGAAAGTGTCCTGCTGGCATCAGGTTTCCCAGAGTAAGTGTTATTTGAAAAGCAGCTGAAGGGTGACGCTCACTCTCCTCCCACCCAGTCTCCCACTTTCCCTCCCTTCTTGCTCACACGACCATCTGTTTTTCCCTTTTTCTTCTCCAGGCTGCTCTAAGTGCCTTGAAACAGCTGTCGGAGCAGGGCCTGGACCCCATCGATGGCCCCATCAAGGTACAGTAAGACATACCTGCCATCAAACTCCACTCATAGATGGACCAATCAGGGAGGGTGGATCTAGTAATCCGTTTGCATCAGTCTGTCGAAGTGCAAACCCTCAGTGCTCCAGGCCATCCTATCATCTGCTTCCTCACCACCCACACGCTCATCCATCAGTTCCACACAACATTTTTCTTCAATAGGAAAGCAATGGTGGGCGTTAAGCATTTATATGCGCCGTGCTCCTGTCACCGTTTCATAGTTTGCATGATGCCTATCTCTGCTGATTCTCAATCATTACGGACACCAGGGTTTTCTCCACATGCCCCTTGCATATCGCCTCCTCAACAGGGAAGGAAGTTGGAAAAATGTCAGTGATGAATACGGTAGGAAAGTTAAAGTGATTGGAGGCAGGGCTGGAAACCAGAGAGGAAATCGCTGTCCTGGGGTATTTTCATAGTAGGTGTTGCCAGAGGAAGATGCCTCGTGTCTCCTTCAGAGGAAAAACCTGAGTACAGCTACAATAGCTTCATTTAAGTCACTGACAGAGATGAAAGAAGAACATCTTCATTTGAACACTTAAAACCTATCAGCTACCCATGTTTAGATTCAGATTCAAACGACTAGCCATACCTCTTGGTCCCATCATCTTATAAACTACAGCAGCGTATCAGTTACTGTGAAACCAGTTAAGGTCAAGGACTTGTTAAGTATCTGAGTCTGAGTCGCTGCTCTTTTAGTTTCTCTGGAAGAATGGTCTTTCACAGGAATTACTTTTTTCTAATAACTCATTGAATCCCAAGGGAATATTTGTATCTTCCCAAAGATCACAGCACAAATTACTCATTAGAGATTATTCGCACCATTGCTCGAGTCATTGCACAAATCCCCCTTCTAAATCAGCGTCATTTGTCTTTTCAGACTGCTGAACCATGTGGGAGGGAGGACGGACATTAAACAGACTAACTCAGGCACCACCACTCAGGTCTGCAAGGATTCAAAGGCTGTCGTCAAGGAGCTGACTACCCCAAACCCCCTTCCTTCTACAAAACTCTCCCACCACCCTCCCAAATCCCTTAAAACCCATGGCCATGCCCCGAATTAGCCAAAACCTACACCCCAATACACCCTCACCCCACGATTGCCACTGTATCCTGCAAAACCTGTCAACATGCAATAGGGTGGATGTACACCGAGAAATGACCGACTAAAACACCATCACCTGAGTCTATGTGAAGACAACGCTATCTTAACATGTTTATTGATCCTTTCTATCGAAATCCGAATGACAAAACACTAAGTAATGAGATAATTGCATGGTACTGTCTGGAATCAAGGGAAGTCCAAAGTGAAATATACATAAAAGACATTTTTCCCTTTGGATAAATGTTGCTATGGTTAAAACAAATATGTACATCATGCCATTGATTTCCTATAGAAACCTTTTGAAGGAGAGAAACCAACTTGCGTACCGTAGCTTTTGTTTTTATTCGGAGGTATTATGTTACCTTTATTTTTGTTTTGTTTTGTTGTTATTTTATTAATCTAACAATGCTTGAGTACTGTCTTTCAAATTAACCAATGCCAGTGCTGTGAAAGTTGTAGTTGTTGTCTTCATATATAGTCACCCAGCTTACCTGTATGCTGACAAAGAAAAAAGACAAAACAGTTCATCTACTCTATGGATGTGTATGACTTTGCAAGAGTATCATATTACGAAAAGAAACACAAAAGTTTTTTATGTGGACAAAAAAAAAGCAAAACTGGTGTTAGCATTAATCATAAGAAGTGTTGCCCACCGAGGAGGGACGGTTGGACCGGTCTCCTTCCAGTCCTGTCTCAACGTGACCCCACACCGGCATAGCATCGCTGGAGCACTGCCCTTTGAACAGCCGAGGCAAAACTTTTTAACCTATAAAGAGGCCAGTCCTGATTGAGAGCGGTTAGATGTTTGCACACATCCTCTGATGCCAGTAAACTTTTAACGTAGAGTCTGATTCAGACTGCATGTTCTTCAGTCAAAGAGAAGTTTTCACTATTCCAGTGATTTTGTGTCAGTGGATGTCCCCTCTCTGCCCCCCTTACAGTTTTGTCGATCACATCTACACCCATTGTGTGTGTTTATTGACTTGCCAAGGCATCAACTGGGTGCTTTTAATGCCTGCGATTCTGAAGTGCACCTTTTGGAGCAGAGAGAGCCCGCGGTTAAAAAAAAAATGCCGACTCCCGCCCCTGAATGCCACTTTGGATCACTTTGTCCACTGACATTGAGGATGTGTCTCCTTCTTCGCTGTGAGTGCAATGTGTAAAAGTCCGTTTCTGTGACTGAAATGCAGTAAAAACACCTCAGTTTATGTGGAAAACGTCTGGTCCTTTCATTTTTGTCATTTCTCAATGCAAGTTTTACTGTAATTTCAATCCAGAGTAGCAATAATATTTGGTTTTGTAGGGGAAACACGAATATTAGAAAGAGACAAATGTTGTGTTTTCACCCAAGAGGTAGATTTATCATGTGTGTTGAGCTATCTCTGCATTTTGACCAAATGTGAAACAATTAAAGCCTGAAAGTGTCTTCCATCAGATCTAAGCTGGGTGAATTTTGGTAAACATCAACCAATCAGCTCCAAGACTTAGTCTTAGGTTGTAGTTCAACAAAAATTAGCTTTTCTCTGACTATGACTTCATGTTTGATTGTTATAGTTCCAATGTTTTAAAGGGACTTTACGGAGTTTTGAATTTTTATGCTCGCGATTGCCCCCTCAGGCCAAAAGCGTAACGGCAGCTTCAATAGTAGGCTTGTGCACGAGGCGTGCATGCTGTACGTGCACACTCCTTAACGAAAATAGCAGCTGAGACAGTCCCGTGTGTGTGTGTGTGCCCCGGAGGACAGAGGACAGGAGAATGCGCAGCTAATTAATTAAATAATTTGGTTCTGTACCTTTCTCTTCAGCACAGCCGACAAAGGTTTAAGTTGGGTCAGTCCGTCAGCTTCACAGAGCTTCCCTTCCCTTGCTTGAAAAATTGTTCCAAAATGAAAGTTGAACCCACATCTTTTTTATCTGTGAATTAAATGCCGTTCAGCGAGTCTCAAATAAAAATTTGGGCATATTGACAGTTTACTAGCAGAATCATTTGTTCTGCTTTACATAACATTTTTAAAAGGTTCAATAACTGCATTTATTTTATCTCTTGGTGTTAATCTACAGCATGGTGTTAGAAGGGCAAAGTGCGTGGGGAAACAGACCATTTTTAGCCCATTGCAACAAAGTCAGGTTCATTTTAGAGACAAGAAACAAAAAGTGTTAAATGGGATTTAAAGAGGCTGACCGTGAAGACCAAATAATGAGATGTTGAAACAAGAGGAAAATAATTCAAGACTTTTCCATAATTGTGCAGAGAACCATTTGGATGGCACTTCACAGCGCAGGTGAATATTTATCTAAAACCACGATTCAAGCCCAAACATTACCTGGTAACCTTTAGTTACCTCCCACCTAGACTAGTCATTAGCTTCTCACCTTGGTCAGGATTCAACTCAGCTTCTCCAAACTGAGGTCATTTAATGCACTCCTGCAGGTAAGCTGTTAAAGGTGTGGAGCACTCATGGAATCAATACATTTGTGGTGGTCTCTAGTAAGTAGTGATGGGATTTATGGCTCTTTCATGGGAGACATTCGTTAGTAGGTCATTTACCTCAAAGAGCTGTTCAAAAGTCTGGCTCCTTTGAACGAGGTGAAGCCAAGAGAGCCGGGGGGGGGGGGGGGGGGGGGGGGGGGGGTCCTGCTGTGTCTGACATCCGGGGAGGTTTGTTACCAGAAGACAAAATGAACGGCTCTCTGCAAGGACTCGGCCCTCATCATTCACTTTGAAAATCCGTTCAAAAGATTCGATTTGTTTGTGATCGTCACATCCCTTCTAGTAAGTGTGCTGGGGGGGTAAAAAAAACACTATTGCACCATTTCCAGGAACTAGATGGCAGGTTTTGGAGTCTTATTTCCTGATGTTTGGACATCTCGCTCTGGATTGGATAACAGCAACATGGATGTTTTATCTCTACAAATAACACAAGCCTGGAGGAGTTCTGCCGTGTGGTGAAGTTGCTAATGTTGCTTCTTCTAGCCGAGATGTTCTCTGCTGTTTCCTGGATGCCAAAGCAACAACAGGATCAAGATGGGTGAGTACATGAACGCTAAGTGAGAGTGTGTAGTAGATCTGTGAGGATTTTCAAATCCTAGAGTTTCATCATTGTCTTCTATCAGAAGCTAATATAGGAGATAGGTGTAGGAGACTATTTTCATGTTCAGCTTGCATGAAACACTCACTGACTGATTATAAACAGAAATAGTCATTTAAAATGCTTTTTTCAGTGATCCACATCTTTAATACATCCTAAACTTTTCACCGAACCCAAATTCAAACAACCCAAGCAATTCCATTAGGACTTTAGGAAGCGGCGTACCTAAAGGAACCGTTTTTAATATAATTTATTTCCTGGTGCCCTTGTACCACGTGGAGATCCAGCCTTTTTAAATTACTATAATGTCATGACATCAGGTAAATATGTGCAGCTAAAATACTTGTTCTGAAATAAGAAACCATCTAGATAAACCACTTTTTATCGGTGTTTTGTGATGTCATTCTATCTCCTGTTACATGGTTCCCACACACAGCTCCTCCACATGTGCTGTCCAGCGGTGTGCTAACCGTCCGTGCATCACCGGACCCTCTCTGCTCTCCTTCATTAGTGAGATGGATGAGTGAATGGGACAGCGGCGGTCTTATTCAGCTGCACTGAATAATGGGCTCTGTTGGCAGCTACATCTGCTTGCCATTGAGAAGCACCAAAGCCGTTTGCTTGCATTAGCAGCAGATCTCTATTCCAGAAGCTTGTTCAGATTGTAGGAGACCAGCTTGAGGCCGTGTTGGACCCCAAGACAAATTGCTTGTCTGTGAACAGCCAGTATGGAATGTGAGTCTTTAGTTCCCAAAATAGAAGAAAATCGATGGGACGGAGCTTGTCTGTGCCACGCAGAAGCAAATGCCAGCGTCATTGATTTTTGCATCTGAATTACGTGTCTTTGACCTGCTTCGGGTCTTCTTAATTAGAGCTGTATTAAGAAGGAGATTAAAAGTTAGTGTTTTCCTTTAATGATTCAAGCCAAATCCTAGTTTTCTTCTCTGGTAATTGAATGAATCCACTGAGCAACTTTATCCTGTCCTAGATAATCACTCAGAGGAGCTCAGACGTCCCTTTGGTTCTAATTAAGGAGCTCACAATGAGCAAACAGAAAGGAGTACCTCCTTCTCGACCAGCCTGAATAAGCTTGCTTATTTTCTGTTTTAGCTTGTTTTAGACACTAGAATGACGAGTATAGAGAAGTCTGTGGCTTAAACTGCATTTTTTAAAGGAAGAGTGTGATCCACATCTAAGCCAAAAACGGAATATTTCAGAAGCTGTGGATCTACTTGGATTTTTACCAAGTTGTGTGTTTGATGAGTCTGGATTTGAGCTGCAACATTCAGATGGTGATCTCTGGCTTTCGCTGGACTGGTTCGCAGCTGGGATGAGAATCAACTCTTCTAAATCAGAGACCATGGTCTTGAGTCAGAAAAGGATGGGTTGCCTTCTTCCGGTCAGGGATGAGGTCCTGCCCCAAGTGGAGAAGTTTAAGTATTTCAGGGTCTTGTTCATGAGTGAGTAAAAGATGGAGCCCGAGATCGATAGACGGATTGGTGCTGCATCTGCAGTGATGCGGGCGTTGTACCGGTCTGTCGTGGTGAAGAGAGAGCTGAGTCAGAAGGCGAAGCTCTCGATTTACCTGTCGATCTACGTTCCTACCCTCACCTATGGTCACGAGCTTTGGGTAGTGACCAGAAGAATGAGATTGCGGATACAAGCGGCCGAAATGAGTTTTCCCAACAGGGTGGCTGGGCTCTCCCTTAGAGATAGGGTGAGAAGCTCGGTCATCTGGGAGGGGATTGGTATAGATTTGCCGCTCCTCCACATCGAGAGGAGTCAGTTGAGGTGGCTCGAGCATCTAGTCAGGATGCCTCCTGGATGCCTCCCTGGTGAGGTTTTCTGGGCCCATCCACCTGGGAGTAGACCTAAAGGAAGACCCAGGACACGGTGGAGGGACTATGTCTCTCACCTGGCCTGGGAACACTGTGGGATTTCCCCGGAGGAGCTGGCCCAAGTGGCTGGGGAGAGGGAAGTCTGGGCCTCTCGCCTTAGGCTACTGCCCCTGCGACCCTGGAAAAGTGGACGAACGTAGATGGATGGATGGTTGGCATTCAGATGGTTAAGACCTGAGTATTGATGCTGATCATGTCCATCCCTGCATGACCGGTGGACCTGATGGCTTCTTCCAACAGGATAATTCATCATGTCTCAAACCTCAGATCATCTCACACTGTTTTTTTAAACATAACAATGAGTTTATGAGACTCACTGAAAGGAAAAGGGTCCAAACGTAACTAGCAGGGTGTTTCAAGTGACCAGTGACTGCATGAGAATATCTCGGCTGCAGGTCAAAGGTCAAAACTTTTGTATCGCCAAACTTTGTAGAGTGGTGATTAAACTCATTCAAGCAACTTTTAAAAAATGTTAATATGTTTTACTTGGATTATATTTGGAAAATTTGCAAGGTGTCAGAAATGTTAATAGAACCATTAAAACTTGAGTTAAATAAATATAATAGTAATAGATCTAAACAAAAATGTTTATGAAGATTTCTCTCTAAATCCCTTTCACATAAAAGGATCTCTGCAGTTTCATTCTTGACATTTTCAGTACCTTCCAGAATGAGCCGTTTCAAAACAAGCTTGAACTAGCCTCATCCACCCATCCCTCACTCAGGCTGCTATAAGATGAGAAGCTCCGACATCTGGGAGGGGCTCAGAGTAGAGCTCCTGCTCCTCCAGCCTGTAGTGATCAGAGGGAGTTCTATGCAAATTTCCCCATTTGTGATGTCACAAATAGGGACTTTAGAAGAGGCATATAATTCCTAAAACCAAACACAGATAAAAAATGGATGGATGGATGGATTTGTTTTAAATTTGGAGTGTTTAAAGAGGCAGTGGAGACCCACAGGGTAGCACAAAAGATGAGTTTAGCCTAAAATTCAAGAATCTACACATCCAGAATTATGTATGTATTTTGTATGATGTTTATTCAACACCACTGTTGTGAGATTTATAGTTTAACCAAAAACAAAGTGGTGAATTTCAACATGAGTTACAACAAAAACTCGTGATGACCCGAAAAGCAATTCCAGTCCTGTGCAAACAGCTCAGCAGTTTGAGCATGTGAGTTAAAACCAAGCTCATGACATCTTTGCTGACACCAATTAGTAAATTAGTCTTTCTTGTTTTTCCCTGGGGGTGTAAAAGGTCAGCTACATAACAGCTGCAGCAGAAATGGCTGGAATTTCATTGTTCTGCTCCCAGATGGCTCATCAAGGCAGACGGAGACAGATTCTCACAGAGGTAATGGCATTGATGGGTGTTTGTGTTTGCCATTAGGCAGCCTGGGACACTCACTCATATTATGGAACAAGTTATTAACTGTGACCCACTGCCAACATTTTCATTTTCTCTCGTTGAATGTTTTAGACTTGTTTTATTTTGAAAAGTCAAGTTCTCAGCCAGCAAAAGGGAGTGCGCTGGGTTTCAGTGGTTGGATTTTATAGGATATAATTAAAATGTCATGTAACAGTTTACTCATAATGCCATACCCTTGTTTAGATAAACAACATATCAGCACAATCACCTCACACAAACTGTTAGGCATGGTGGTGGAAGAATGATGATGGCACAAGAGTTGCAGTCACTTAATTGAACTCCTCCTTAAACCAGAGTTTTCTAACCTGGGGTTTCTGCGAGATGCGTAAGCGGTGCATAACATCTCTGCAATGTCAGCAGCATGTTCCATCCTACCAGGAGCATTTCAGAAATGCGGAAATTTGTTGGATGTGATGCAGTGCTCCCATGATTGATATTCTGTCTGGCCCAATCTGAACTGTTGCGCTAGCCTCTGGAAGCGTAGTGCTTAAAAAAATATACTCTAGGCATAAATTTAACAGATTGCCATAACACAACGCTTCTATGATGCTGCTTGTCTGGTGGATACATACACATTGACTCTAATGGTGGCTCTTGGCTGCCAATTGCCTTTCACAGACACTGCGTGACTCTTGGCCATCCAGCAGAAAGCTGGGGTAAATGTTAGGACATCTGTCCAACAGCGCAAAATGTAATCATTCACACAGTGTAACGCAACCTTTCCACTGGATTCATTAAAAACGCATTTTACCCATGAGATCTGTTCCTACCAGGAGTGTTTCAGATGTGAAACAGAACCGAAAGTATTCCACGCAGCTGGTCCCGCTATAGGTCATGAAATCATTGGACAATTGCAGGACCAAGCATGATTTCAGCAACTCGCGCAATAACAAGCAAGAAGAAAAAATCTGGGCTTCATTTTCTGTTCTGTTTACCTCATCTACGAAGGTTTCACAGGCAATGACGTACTTTCTTATTAGTTAAGCAACTGGAAATCTGCTTGTGACTTTTATCTGGAAAGGTTCCAGATATATTACACCGCTTTTGTGTTTGACTTCCTGTCTTACCAGATTTGAACTGCTGAGCTTGACGCATTCTGGAAACGTAGCACTTAAAAAAGGCATACATTTGTGTTAGCAGTAGCTCAGGAGTTAAAGCAGGTTGTCCAGCAATCAGAAGGATGGAGGTTCGATCCCGGCTCCATCCAGAGAATGCTGCTTTTGGGCAAGACACTTAACCCACCTTGCCTGCTGGTGGCGCCGGTGTTTGGCAGGACAGCTGTGACTACATTGTAGCTCATCATCACCAATGTGTGAATGTGTGCGTGCATGGGTGGATGACTGATTGTGTTGTATAGCACCTTGGGGGTTTGTAGAACCCGAAGAGGGTGCTATACAAATACAAGTCATTTGCCAATTTAGCAGTGCAATGCATCATCACGCTTCTACATCCAAATTGCAATGCTTCGCGACCGGTGGAAATGCACCCATTCACTATAGCGGCTGCAAATTGCTGTGTACTATGCTTTGTGAATGTTATGTAATGCTTATGCGTCTGGTGGAAGGCACAATAACAGAGATCTAGTCTGAAAAATGAAAATGAGTTTTGACCAGACTGCTGAACTAACAAATAGTTTATGCCAAGCCAAGATGAAAGTGAACTTCTGCCATCCTCAACAGCTCTTTCTAGTACAGGAGCTACAGGAGCCTGAAGGGTAATTTCATGATGCATTCAGGAGAAGTGGAAGAAAGATTATTGAGCACAATCTTTTTTTCATTATATTTACTTCTTGGTAGAATAAACTAAATACAAACCTTGATTATCTAAGCTTTCTAAGTTGGAACTTGCCTTTTTTTTAAGCAAGAGTAATAAATATTTGATATTGAGCAGTACTTTCAGCCTCTCGTGTGCAGAAAATCCCCATGTCCATAAAGAACATGGCTAGGTGTTAAAGTGGATTTCAACTTTTTTCTCAAATTAACAAACATTATGACCCTAATTTAGCTCCATACAACTCCACTTTGGGCTAGCCGATAGCTCAAAACTAATCTCTGTTTCTCCAAACCAAGGTTGCTTTGGCTCTACTGATTCACCAAAAGGTATTTTTTTTCTTGCTTCTTCCAACTGAAATTGCACAGACAGCGTACTCAGATGCTCAGCCAACACCCCGCTGACTCACTGTGTGGCATAATGAGTGAGGACAGGGACACTGATACCAGTCAATAGAGCAGGCGCAACAAAGAAGAGAAGGGCTGGGTGGGTGTAAACCGTATCCAAAGCTGTTTCAGTTGGGAGGAAGATCCTCTTTCCTGTCTCGCATTCAGCTGATTCACTGAGTTAATGGTAGTTAAAGACCTGCTTTATTTGCTGAATAACTTTTCAAATCGGCACAATGATGGCTAATTTCTATTTCGGGTTCTCCAAAGGCAAACATGGGTCAGGAAGTCCTCCCAAATACCACAACACATCATTTAATAATCTAAATCACTTTATTAATTTACGTTAGAGACACTAAACATTGGAACCACATTTGTGCTGCCATGTAGCAGACTTTAGAATATTACAAAAAGAGGCTAATGTTATACTGTCCACAAAAAAAAAAGGCAAAAATGAAGAGGTAGAGAATTTAGGCTCATCGCTGTGACTGAGGGAATGATGCCTACTGGAATGTTCTGTAGTTCAAATCCTGAACAAACATGTCCAAAAATAATAAAGTGTATATAAAATACATCAAAAGCAGTGGGAGGAACACTTATTCTGGGAGCCTTGTTGACATTTAAACAAATACGTTTCACTTTAAATGGGAAGAAACTTTTCAACCACTCAGAGTCAAGACGGTTGCTTAAAATGGATTTTTTAACAATATTGTTCAAAGATTAATTTACAATATGAACAGCATAGTAAAATAATAAAATATAATTCTACGTTTTTGTCTTCTCTCAACTGATAAATTCTGTAAGAAATTCAACCCAGGACAATTTATGTCGCCTCCTGATTGAGAAATTTGTAAAAAAAAAATAAAAAAAAAAGAACTAAAAAAAGAACTAAAAGCGAGAATGACAACGACTCTGCTGAAGATGGAAACAACCACAAACTGGCCATTAAACATCCTGACAGTTGAACACGGTCATCTTAAACATTTAAACATGCTGTGCCTTTAAGACTGAAGCAAAGCCTCTGATGGGTGGCGTTGTTGGAATCCGGTGTTAAACTCACACACTCATAAAATGCAGAAAAAAAAATCAAAATTTACATTAGAAATATTAGAAATTACAGTGCATGTCTACAAAAATAAAATAAGTGAAAAATTGATTACTGTTTGTACAGTAACATACTGTATATTTCCACCTTGACACTAAATAAGGCTGGTGACTACATTATGTAAATAGTTAATTACTGGATACCTTTTCTCTATGATTTCAAAAACTAGTGACTGTATATATAGATGCTGGTTTCTTTAGAATAAAAAAGGGAAAACAAATATGACAAATCAGTCTTTTGTGTAGTACGCAGCTCCTTTTTTTGTTCCAGAGGAACAATATGGTAAACTTTTGCATTTGCTCAATGCAAGTGCACCAGTCTAAATTCAGTCTTTTTCTTTGTCCCGTTTTCATCCTCAGTGGTTGTTTCCTCATGCCTGCAGTTTTAAATGCCCTTGTTATGAACAGTGCCCCCTAGATCCCGTTCTTTGCTTCGTTGTTGTTCATCGCCTCCTTTCTCTGGGCTAGGAACGGGTACATGCACTTGTCGGCGCCCAGAAATCGATACATACACACAATGGCCTCGAAGGGAAGGATGCTGCAGGGATGAGATGGAAGTAGGGTTAGTAACAGCAGGAGGGGTAGAAAAGGGGATTCTGGGTATGGAAAGTGGCTCACCTTTTCATAAAGTTAACCATGTAAATGATGCGAGGCGTGCAGATCATCGGCTGGTCTGTGAGGATGGCCGTCATGGCTTGTTTCACACAGAACTCTGGGTTCAGGGGAGGCAGGAAAGGCTCAATCTCCTTCCTGGATGGGAAGATAATTCATCATTACCAGGTTCTAAATAAATTCAACAAGCCTCTCAAAAATTAGAATATGGCTCAAAAGTTCATTTATGTCAGTAATTTGCCTTAAAATGTGAAACTAATATATGAGATAGACTTACTCCATGCAAACCCAGATATTCCACGCCTTTGTTATAATTGTGATGATTATGGCTTACTGCTTATGAAAAGCCCCACATTCAAAAACTCAGACAATTAGAGTAGTGTGAAAAGGTTCAATATTCTAGACTCAAAGTGTCACATTAATCAGCTAATGAATCCAGAACACCTGCAAAGGGTTCCTGAGCCTTTAAACAGTCTCTGAGTCTAAGATGACTTACTGGCATGAATGGAAATTTTGCACAATATTGTAATTTTTCAAGTTTCACTTGTAGTTAAGAATCCAAACAGTGGCACCCCCTAGGGTTGGCCAGGGGGGGACCATGACCACCCCACATCAAACGTAATTGTGTTCACAAAAACCTTAAAATCACCTTCTTTATTTAAGACAAAAATGTTAAAGCCAATATGTTTATTTTAGTAAATAATAAAATAAATCACAATTTAAACGTAAGTACGTCACTGAGACTTTTAAAAAATAGTAGAAATCCCAAATGTTTTTCTTTATAATATTTTTATTGAGACAACAACAGGTAAATTAAACGGTTTTAACATTTAAAATTAGAAACAATAACTGAAATTTTGTATTCTTTTTCTGCTGAACTATTTGTGTACCTGTCCACACGTAGCAGGGTATCTCCCAAAACGATGATATTTTTCTACGATTCAGCCCGTCGTCCACACGAAAATGCAGATTAACGCAACAAAAACAAATCATTTTAAAAACTTTGGCCCGTGAAGATTTGCGTTTTCTCTGTTTTAAACGTTTCTGTATGGACGGAAATAACCAGAGTTTTAGGTTTCACAACGTCTCTGTCTGCGACAAAAATGCTGACGGCCCATGTGCGACCTGTGTTTACACAATAACATGGATGCCCTCAGAGCTGGGCTCGCGTTGTTAACTACATTTAACTAGTAGTTAGACTAGTTATAAAACTACACTTAATAGCAATTCTACCTCCTTATTGGTCCACACAAACAAGCTAGACGCAATGTTTCATATTTTGTTGGATCTTCTGAAGACGAAGTGGATAGGATTCAGGGGAACCACTGCCGCCTACAGGTCTGGCATGCCCGTGAATGTGCTTAACAATACACTTATGCGGTCTCGTGTGGATGGAGTTTTTTTTCTAAAAACCAGGTGGTGTGGGTGCAATTTTTTGGGAGGGCAGATATTAATTTTTAAATAAACCCGGCTACATGTGGACAAGGCCTGAGTTAAATGTGTTTGATGCACAAGTTCATAATGAAAAAGAATGGAGTGATGCACAGCTACAGGCTAAACTCTCCCAGCCGCCCTATAAATTTCAGTGACACCCCCCATAATTTTCTTAAAAGGGGGCGAGTGAAGCCACCTGCAGACTACAAGCAGCAAACAAAGTGAGGACTATTGCAGCAGCCGCTTGTGGAGAAAGGGGTGGGGGTGTACACCAGGTGCACCTGTTCTTGAGGAAAGAAAAGTAGCCCTCTTTGTTTAATCGGTGTGTTGACTTATGGAACTTTTATGGAAGCTAACAAACCACCTGCTTCCGCTTTGAAGTTCAATTTGTGTTTCACCTGGTGACGATTCCAAACAACAAACTAATTCCAGGTGCAAGTTTAAAACAAGAAGTGTTGGCGCTAACCTTATCCGACAACCTTTAAACATTCCCGTGTTGACCAGGTAAGGACACACCAGAGTCATGTTGATGCCATCCTTCTCCGAGGCTTTAATCTCGTGGCTCAGAGACTCGTGAAACCCGATGGCACCAAACTTACTGGCACAATAATCCTAAAGGGAGAAAAAAGAGAGGCCAGATTAGCTCTGTGAAACCCTCGGCCCTCACCTACGGGCTCCTGAAAACATTATCAAACATGCCCTTTGGGCTCAGGGGCTTCTTTATGCTGTTAATGATACGGCCACAGAAACCCGAGGTAGACGAACAGCTTTTCTACGGTTTCGTTAGCATTCTTCCCTGCTGCATTAGGAGGCCGCTGTGCTTAACGGGGAGGTTTTGATGTGGTTCACTGTGGAAATATTCTTTTTAAAAAATGCACTAAAGTGAATAAAAAAAAGGAAGCTTGAGCAAACACGTAAGCATAAAAGGTTGGACTGTTTGCATGAAATGCGAGGCGTTTTCAGAAGCTGAATACGCTTTAATGCCCGTGAAAGGCAAAGTTGCTGCAGGTGAAGGCTCAAACAAAAGCTGATGTGCAGCTTAAAGACACAGGCTGTCATATTTGTCATCATTTCCAGCAACAGGAACAAATGAAAGAAAAAAGTGCTTCGAGGATGAATGGAGGGGGCTACTGCTTTACTTTCCCTGTGGTTATGGAGATAATAACCCCCTACTAAATATTTTATTATGCATTTAGAATTAAAAAAACTATAGGAAGGAAAGAAATAATAATTGAAAGCAGTTGTGAGCTGAATTCTGGGTGAGGACCAAGTTTTTCACAAAGCAGTGATGAAGATGTCTCTGTCCCATGGGGAGCTGTCAGCTCATTCTGGCCCCGGGGCCAGTGCCCACCAGGGGCCCCCACACCCCCACTGCTGCAGATAGAAGAATCTATACAAGACTCCCAATGCTCATCTGTGTTCCTTAATTTAACGGGTGGAGGGACAACCAGAGAAAGGGGGCCTAACCTCCTTGGTCTCAGTGGGCTAGCTGGCATGCTGACGGCTGCGAAAAGGAGAAAAGCTTCGGTTCTGGATGGTGGGAACGATGGGATGTGTATGCGTTGCTGTGTATGATACTAACCTCCACTCCAGCTGTGCTGAACAAACCCAGGGAGCTGGCAACAGTTATAATGTGACCATGATTCAGCTCCAACATCTTGGGGAGAAACGCCTTGGTGGTCTGGGGGGAAGGAAAGAGGAGACAGAAGAGCAAAGGAGGGAAAAAGAAAAAAGGAAGGTTAATTCACTTGTGCAGTTTGTCTGAGCCAAAGCTCTTTGATCCTCTCTGCCTTCCCCCTCTCAGTTTCTCTCCCTTTTCCATGGTGATGCAGAAAGGGGCGTCTGAATGAGAATTCATAACCGAGGGAGGGAGAACGAAGCAGCGGAGGTTTAAAAAACACAACTTTGTGAGTAAGGATGGCAGTTTAACTCTGTGTACTCAAACATACATGTGATGTGAGGGATTCTGCAGAGCCTTTTTCCCTTTCCCACACAGATCTGGCACCTGCCGTTGATGCTCACACTAAAGACTTGGTGACAATACCCATCACATGCAGGCCTCCGTTCTCTCGACAATACTTAAAAGTTCAATCCAGCCTCTTGTCGACCTACATGGCTTTAGACCCCGCCTGAGTGGCACAACAATCCGTGTGACGAGCCAGGTGAGCTCTGGGATGAAAAGGCTGCAAGGCCACGTGAGAACCCGACCAGTTCTACCAGCTAGTTTAGTGAGATCCGAGTGGTCACAGCTGATCGCCACATGAATTTGTCACTCATTCTGCTGATTTGCTGCCCAGAACACGAGTCAATCACAAGGTGAGAAACATTACATCTAAGGTAGAAACAAATCAGTTGCTCAATAGGAGGTCTGCAAAGAATCAGCAGTCCATCCGTTGGTTGCCAAGGTGACCACGATGAAGAAAAGATGTAGTCTGCAAAGCTTAAAATGTTCCTAAGAGGATGAGGTAAAGATTCAAGGGTACCTTTACAACCCGAAACCCAACTCTGTAGTTGAGAAGCACTTCACTGCTTAAATAATGACAAACGCAACTTTTGCTAATCTTTATTGGAGCCGTAAAATCTTTTTCAGTTATTATGTGATAAAGCAAGTCTTCATTATTTGGAACAGTTTCTAAGCCTTGCCAGAGAAATTATCCAGGCTCCTTCATAAAAATTTACAGGAGGGAAGCACAGAGCCAGCAAGCGTGTGGTACCTGATAGTACCAGCCGCTGAGCCACTGTCAAGGGAGGAAAAGCCTCATTAAAGCTGCACCCATGGATCAACCATGTTGGACCTACGGACTTATCATGTGATCTCCATTAAGGTCCATCTTCTGTATGTAAAAGCTATATTCCTTTTTTAGGCAGGTACATAAAACTGAAGGCAGTAACCTAAAAAGAGAGGCAGTCGTATGGAAAATGATGACCTCATCGCTTGAGTTTATTCTTGAGCCAGGTAGAACTGATCTGACTCCAGTCCAAACATCTGCAGTTTTCCAGGACATAAATTTTAAGGTTGGTGCAATATTCAACTCATCAGAAGATGGGGCCCACAGAGAGGGCAGCAAGAGAACATGAGGGCCCAGCAGACCTGAGAGAGGACTGTATGAGCCAGAATGGCAGTGGGGGGAAGAGTTGCGTGCAAATGAAGCATTATCTTAAGATATGCCCGTACCTGACTGGAGCCAAACATTCCCATTTCCAAGGCAAGTTTTAGACGGGAGGGAATGACTTGACCTGGCACAACGGTGTATAGTTAGAGCCAGAGCTCTCATTCAACTGGAGGGGTTTCCTGACGGAGTTTACGACCTGGAACTGTAAGAGGAACGATCGTTCTGTGGAATCACGGACCGGCCGACCGGCCCATCTCTCTCACACCCTGCCACGATGTCCTGCTTCTCATGGCAGCTCCGGCTTGTGGGTATGACCCTCCCTGACCTCTCAGACACGAAATGTGTGAAGGCAACCAGGCTCTTGTGTCTTACATCAGAGCCGCCATAATTGGGTCTCAACGCTCCCTTGTTCCGCTAAATTACCTGCTGACACTGTCAGGCCTCCTTGGCCCAAGTGGGGATGCCCTGCTCACTGCACCCCCTAATTGGTGCACGCCCCCAGGAGCATTTTAGCCACACAAAGCTTTTTGCAGCTGGGGTGTCAGGCTGCATTAGTGCTAATGCCTGACCAACAGGAATATGAACAAATTATTGGCCTTTGCGTAGCACCAGATGGCCATTTAATTGGACTGACTTCTCCCTGGGCAAGAGAATGAAGGAGAGGGACTAAAAAAATACATTTGAGCGCAAGAGCTGGATTGATACCGAAGCAGGGTGAAGAACCTGAGCATGACCAGGGATGAAAACTCAACTCAGCTGGAATCCAGTTAAAGTAAAAAGTCCCAAAGTCATCATCACACACCGATGAAATTCATCTCCGCATTTGACCCATCCCCGCAGGGAGTGGTGAGCTGCAGCTGAGGCTGTGCTCAGGAACTCTTCGACCCCTTGAAGCTGAGTGCCAAGCAGGGAGGCATTGGGTACCACTTTTGTAAAGTCTTTGGTATGACCCATACCGGGATTTGAACCACGATCTCCCAGTCCCAGGGTGGACACTCTACCACTAGGCCTCTGAAAAGGTTATTCCAAAAGATCCAAATGTCCAGCATAATTATGTCATTACAGTGTCTGGGACTAACACACACATTTTGTCAATCTGAAGAATTTGGAAGCTGGTGGTGCTGTTGATGCATTTAAAAGAAGAGGCGTGCTAACCATCACCATTGCTTTTGATGAACAGTTACAAAGTTGGACGTCAGGCGTGCCGCAGAGCGCTTGCATCAATGCATCATGGCGTTGCATCTCTCTGTTGCTGCGCTCCAGTTTACTGCTAATGTAAATTGTTCACAGTTGGACTTTACTGGAAATCTCTTTTTGGAAGAGGAAACAAGGCAAGAAAATTGGGAATATCATTCAGATTAACAAATGTTCAATTCCCAAGAACATCAGGGGTATTTTTTATGGCATTTCATGACTATAGATAGATGAGATCTTCTAAAAAATATATTAATGGCAACCCAAGATCACCACCTGTAAACAAAGCAAAAAGGGAGGAGTAATGACACGTCTCCCAGTGGAATACAGGTGCATTGGGCCTGAGGAGGGACCCTTATAAAACCAATCAAGTAGGACCCTTCTGCCTGGCTGGCTCCTTTCTCTGCCTACAGAAGGAATGCGGCCTGCAGAACTTGGCTCCTGTCGCCTGGCGTCTTGTCAAGCTGATCCACAGACAAGAAACCAATTGTCAGATAAAGTGGGTCAGCAGCAGCTTACCATTACCCTCTTGCCTCGCCTGTGGATGGGATGGCACCGGCTTCCTTCCTCTTTTCCCGCCATGTCGGGCACTCATGTTGTCCCACAAGAAAAGTGGGAGCAGGAGGGGAATGCGTGCTTATTGTTCACAAACCACCTGTTGGATAACCAGTTCAAGATGCTGAGGATGATTTCCTTTCATGTCGCTCCATTAGACCCACTAATCCTCCAGCACAGTGTCGCCTGCAAAACCACTGCGCATCCCCATGTGCCTGCGTGACTCAAACGTCACGAACATCACAAATGGCCAGCTGGACTAATCAAAGCATCAGACAAATTCATCCCTGCCTTGTAAAAAAAATTAAAAAATAGCCTAAAGGGAAAAGAAGGGGATGAATCATAAGTTTGTTTGTGTGGTAGGGCCGGAAGAACGGATCCGGCCTCGGTGACTCCCTTCCAGCTGCACCCACTGCCTCTAAATCAGGTTGGGAGGAGTCAGAGGGGCCAGTGGAAGGAGAGGAAGAGAGGAAGAAATGTTGGGTCTGAGCTTGGCTGTTATGGCAGACCATCTATTTCCTGCTCCGGGCTCCAGCGTTAGTGCCTTATTCCCAAAAAACGTCGTTCAACAAATGAGAATGCACATAAATCTTTCTTGTCCCAGTTTATATCCAGGAGGAATTTATTTAGTGAGTTATGGTTAATGTGCGATTAATCTGCGATTAATCTTGAGTTAACTCTCTCTCTCTCTCTCTCTCTCTCTCTCTCTCTATATATATATATATATATATATATATATATATATATATATATATATATATACACACCATGTTCTATCACTTTAGAAACTCTTATTGTTAATGAAATTATCTATTTATTGTGATGCTGAAGACATTGAAATCCAATTAAAAATCTTGATAATAATCTAGCAAACGTTTTAATCTGCTTCAGTAAATTAAACTATCCAGCTTCTAAAGCATTTGTTCCTAACATATTAGAAGCACATGTCTGAGCAAACCCACCCAAAGCAGTTCACCTGCTTTAATTGAAACGTATGATGAGTCATGAAGCACAAATGGGACATTTTATAATAATAATGAAAAGGTACCACCTGCAGGCAAAGTGAGTAAAATAGGGAAAAGAGTGGACAGGCCTCTGTTAGTCTAAGCTCTTTTCTTCTTGCCTGTGTTGTTAATGAAGCACAATCTCTATTCTGGCTGTCGCAGTTCATTAAAGTCTTCTTTCATCTTACCCTCCCGCCTCCAGCCGTCTCCCTAAAGGATCCATGCTCTCCGTAGAATACAGGAGAACACAAACACTGCTCTCTATTAGTAATCCCAAATCTGCCACCCAACAACTGGATCCTGACTCCAAATCCTGGATGTAAAAGAGTAAGGCAGTGTGAGAGAGACACTTGAATGCATCCATTACTGGTGGAATACGCAACCTGTCTGACGTGACAAGAGATTTTCATCCTCGATTAGGGAGCTTTGTTGGATTGTTGAGAGAGAGGTTCTCTATAAAAACAGAAAGAGCCATAAAAAGAGCAGCAATGACATAAAGTCATGCTACCAACATGTGATGGCGAGTTTCTTCCAGACTACACTCTAAAAAAGGAAATGCTGAATTTGCTTAACCAAGTTATTTCAACTGTTTTCGTTAACCCGAGTTGCTTTAATGTAGAGTAATACACGTCTACTTTTAACTAGAACTGTCAAAGTTAGCAATTTATTGTGGCCTTGATACACTAATTCATTATAAATACTAATACAATACAAATATCATGTTGTATGTTAACGCATTTTTAAAATTGTTTTGAATGTCTGTTGCTCACTCGCTCTGAACAGTTCAAAATTTCGTGAACGCGCATTCTGTGCAGAAACACTAAATTTCGTTCTTGTGAAGCACCTCGTGATTTTATCTTGAGACGCACTATATAAAATCTGATGTTAGCCTAGATCTGGTTAAGTGGGGGAGTAGAGGGAGGTGGAGTGTACAGTCGGTAAAGACGGTTCTCCTTGCCCTGCCTCCAACATGCCTCCATCTAAAAGGCTAGGTTATCCAGAGTTATCTCTGTAGTTATGCTGCTATAGGCTTAGACTGCTGGAGGATACACTGACCACTTTTCACACTCTACTACTTTCTTCTACAATCTGCTCTTTAACTGTATTATTTCCTACAATTTCAGCTGTTAACTGTATTTTCTCTGTAAGTGTTTTTCTCCCCAGAAGAAGCTACAACGATGTTCTGCTGAGCTGTGGTGGCCTCATGGAGGGGGCCATCGTCTAGCACACTGCTGCTAACCACTTAAACATTCTCCCTCTCCTGATAACTTTTTGCTTTCCTTGACGTTGGATGTGCTACTACTAGTTTATCCGTTTAATTATAGATCCACTAGGATAAATACAATAAAGTTTATCTCTCACCAAATAGAATATTTACTAAGAAATCACAATGTAACCATAGAAACACTACTTGGTATACTGTATATGTTGTGTGTGTGTGTGTGTGTGTGTGTGTGTGTGTGTGAGTGCGTGCGTGCGTGCGTGCGTGCGTGTGTGTGTGTGTGTGTGTGTGTGTGTGTGTGTGTCTGCTCTGTCTTCTCGATCCCCAGTGAGTCGTGGAGGATGACTGCTTATACTGAACCAGGATCCTCTGGAGGTTTCTTCCTGTTAAAAGGGAGTTTTCCTCTCCACTGTCACTGCATGCTTGCTTAGCATGAGGATTGCTGCAGGATTGCAATTAGCTGGGTTCCTTATATAGGAGACATTTGGCTTAATGAGCTGACCTGTATTGGAATGTTTACTTTGTGAAGTGCCCTGAGACGACTCTTGTCGTGATTTGGTGCTATATAAATAAACTTGAATAGAATTGAATGGAATTGAATATAAAAGAGTGCATCATTACAATACAGGAGAGGAAGTTATAAACAAAAACAAAGCGCTTTGTGAGCGAGCAAACATATGTTTGTTGTTGCGACAACAAACATATGTTTGCATAAAAAAGATATATTTGTCTGTTCCTATATCTTAAAAGAGCATTAGAAACATGAAAACATGTTACTGTAAATTTAATATCTAGTTAATCCGCAATTAATATTAAATTAACTATGAAACTGCAAAAAAATAACATTCAAATGCCTAATTCTTATAACACAACGATGTAAAATACTCTACATTTAAGCAACCATTTTAAGTAAATTAAACATTACATTTTTAGATTGCAAGGAAGAGGAAAAGAAAACAATCTAGAAGGCGTCCCCCCCCCCCCCCCCCCCCTCTCGAAAGCTGGTTTTCGCGATAAGCTGGCACAAGAAGACCAGAGGAAAAGGAGCCAAAGGAAAATCTGATACAGCATCTAAATCAGTACCTGCCAACAAAATGTGCTGATCTGATCATCTGAGGCTGATCCAACCCGCACCCTGAGAGCCCTGCTCCTATCACACAGGGATGGGGATGAGCTTCCACACCGCATGAATCATCACAGACGGAATAAAAGGCAGATTCATGAAGGCTTTGGCAGAATGCGATGAAATAAGATTTCTAGGTCATACTTTCATTTTCTACACTTTGATCCCTGAGTTTGGCGCGCGCGCGCGCACAAACTTGAGAGGGATGTGGAAGATTCCCTTTGAACTTGTCATAACTCAACTGATTTTCACGTGTACACAACCTGGCAGAGTTACAGATCTTAGATGACCCCAGCTCACCCAGAAGTGTGCGTGACAGTTGACCACCATGGTGCGCTCGATCAGCTCGTCGGGACACTCCAGCAGGTGATGACCCGAGACCACACCTGCGTTGTTAATCAGTAGGTCTACCTCTCCCACCTCTCGGCGCACCTTCTCCGCGGTGGAATAGACGCTCTCGCGTTTCCCTACGTCACACACATATGTGTAGACCTGAGGCTGGAAGGTGGGGACCTCCTCGACCCCCCCAACAGGTTCTGCGGATTGAATGGAAATATTTTTTAATTGTATTAAATTATTTATTCCGATAACAAAAATTAAACTGATTTTTTGGGGGGCATTTTTGCGCACCATGCGTAAAGCCGATCTTACCGTCTTTGGTGACGGGGGTTTCCAGTTCGTGGTAAATCTGCCGTACCATCTCCGCCGTTTCCTCGTTGCTTTGGCTGTTTATGTCCCACAGCACCAGAGTCGCTCTTCTCCGGGCGAACTCCTTGGCGAACAGCCGGCCAAGGCCGCTTCCAGCACCGGTGATCACGCACACCTGTCCCGCCACGCTCTTCTCCTTAGGGCGCACGACCCACTTGGCCCCGGCGGTCACAAAAGCCCAGAGCACTTTTAAAATAACCACGAAGAACTCCGCGATGATCATCATCATCTTGACAGGAACTTTCTGTGAATTTAAACAGAGAATGCCGGACACGAAGAAGGGGAGGTGCGGAGGGGTGTTCCCGTCTCCCAACCTGTTCGCAGCAGTGAGGGGGAAAACGCAGACGCGGGGAGCGCAAATATGCAGAAAATGTGTTGGAAAAGCGCAAACAAGAGAGCCAGGTTGAGAGAAAAGTGAGTCCGGTTGAGTTTGGGGTTGCTCTGCTGCTGTTGCTCCACTCATGTCATCTTGCAGTCGCATCTCACGCGCTATTTATTTAGTCCACCCATCCAACGCTCGACCCAATCGGAGTGCGCTGACAGCATGAAGTACCAGCTCCATACACTCTCAATGGGTGATGTAAACTACATATTTTAACACTAATCTGTTGCAGTGCCGTTTCCCCTACTGGAAAGAAAACAGATTAGCGCCATCGTTTGAATGCTGATGTCTTCAATTTCCCCCTCGTTGCATTTAACCAGAAATTCTAATAAGTCAAGTTTTTTTTCATTACTTTTCATTTGGACTTTTATTTAGTTTTTTGGGTAGCCATTTATGCGCACATAGAAGATGGACAAAGCAATTAGCGCTAATATATTGTATTCTGAAATTATATATATTTGGCCTCTAATTTTATCATTATTTTTGATGCTGTGCAACTTCTGTCTTGCTGGTTACAAGTGATGGATTCAGAGCCTAAGATACAATTCGTCATCACATGCAGAAAAATAACTCAAGGATCTTATTAATAGTCTGAAGAAATTGCATTTTGAAATTATTAAACACGTTTTCATCTAATTTAGATAAATAAAACATGAGTAAATAAACAGTTTTCATAAAGTTATTGTGAAAAATAATCTAAGCCCAAATGAACGTGGTCAACAGCTGGAAATGCTTTCCAGAGCTGAAGTGTTTTACATCATATTGCGTCCCTGTTTAACAGTGGCGTCCGCGCTGAAAATCCATCTCTCAGAATTAGACGTTTGCGTCCTCTGCCGGTTCAAACACCGCATGACTTTTTGCACGAATGATGTGAATAATAAAGGTGTATTTAATGTACACTGAGCCCTAAAGGAGGGGATAAAAAAAATACTTGGAATCTCGTGAGAAACAGTTTCTGGTACTGGTGCGCATACTTGGGCTATACGTGTGATTTGTGCCCAACGCACCATAATCACGATCACAATATAGGCTCGTGCAGCAGATTGTATGCTTGTGCAAAAGATGGTACGTTTTCCTCGCCAGGTAATATTGTAAGTTGTGCACAAAAGAAAATACGCAACAGAAACCATTTTTAAACAAATTCCCCTTCAGGGCTTAGCACTTAACTAACATGTGATTTTAAAAAGGCAAACGATAGAATGGTCGTTTATTTTATTTTATAATAAAATAAAATAAAATAAAGCAAAATAAAAAGGTTTAAAATCTTTTCACAGTTGAAACAAACTTAATTCAGCGACTCAATGGGGCGCTGTTTCACTGACTGAACGTGAATGAACGTAGATTCTCAAGTGCACGAGCTTGGTGCGCAATCTACGTAAACCTATTTGCACGAGCTCCACGTGTTCTTCAACTGAAAAGCGACATTAAACTCCCCAAACGATCCTAAATACTTGCAATATCCGACCCATGCCTGCTGGGTTTTAAAATCACAACAATAAAATGACTCATTATTTAAAATAAACTTTTAATTTGCCTTTTTAAATAAAATCGTTCAGATCTAAACACATCAAGAGCACGTACTTCTGTCGTCATTCATTTATTAGATTTTATAAATGGTCCTCAAATGGATGGAAAAAAGCCTAGTGATTAAACAACAGTGAAACAGCGCCCTCTACAGTCAAATAATGTGATGACCACATGTAGTTACCAAGGTTAGAATCAGGACATTTATCGCACTTTTTTTACATAAATGTTTGTAATATAAATTTCTGTAACGCGTCAATAATTTACAAATATGTATGTATTATTATGATTCCAAAATGTTTTAACCAGTCAGGCGAGTACGAAGACACCCTGTGACGGTCCTAATCCTTTAACCAGCGCATGCGCAATACGGAATTCCTCTTTCTCGGTGGTCGCCATGGCGGACGCAAAGTGAGTGTCTGACTTCCAATTCAAATCTAAGCACATCCTGCTATTAGAGAGTCGAATTTGAGATTTTTAAAGAACGTACACGTTCATCAAGTCTTATAAAATAATTTAGTTGTAATATTGTTGGAAAACTTAACATGATTTACGGTTTTATTTACATTTATTGAACGTACAGCAATGGCCAACATGGCTGCGCTTAAAATTAGCATCTTTTATGATTTAAAATGCCCATTAAAGTTTAATTAAACAAACAGCTTTGTCAGCCTAATTTTGTTGCAGTTATTTAAATAGTTATTTGTTTCGTTAAGCTTAATAGGACTAAAGTGAGCCGGTGTACCTACACCGATTAGTGCTAAGGAGCTAGCCGCTATTTAGCAACTAGCTATTGATTTGAATCCGGGTTGTTGCGTGAAGCATTGCAGCCAACGTGGTCACTTTCCTGTTCTACTTTTCTGTTGACAGAAAAAAGGTTCCGGCGGTCCCTGAGAGCCTTCTAAAAAGGCGAAAGGCCTTCGCTGCCATGAAGGCCCTCCGCATCAAGAAGATGCTGGCAGAGAAGAAGGTAAACGAAGCTTAATGCCCATTCGATTTAAAGTTGTTGGTCGTTTTGGACAGATGAACACGTGTTGCTTTTGTGTTAGGTCCGTAAGGTGACCAGGAAACTGATCTTTAAGAGGGCAGAGAAGTACCACAAGGAGTACAGGCAGATGTACAGGCGTGAGATCCGCCTGGCACGTATGGCACGCAAGGTGGGGAACTATTACGTGCCACCTGAGCCCAAACTGGCTTTTGTCATCAGGATCAGGGGGTGAGTTTTGACCCCCTTTAACCATATATAGCTGTTATTTACGTGGATTGCAACAGTTCTAGTAAGTGAATCAAAACATTCAAATCATATATATCATAAAGCAAGACGTGGGCCTAAATTTCTTAACATGCTGTTTGTAAAGAGGGCTTGATTTATTTATTTTTTTCATAAATAGTATGTTATGGTCATGTTCTTGTGTTAATGCAACAGTTTATCAGTAATGGTTAGAAAGGCTGCTGTATTGTTTAATAAAAAAAGGCAATCCATGTAAACATCCTTCATTCCAGTTTGAGTGGTTGATGATGTATATTCTTTCCCCGACTTATCGACAATGCTGATTCAAATGTTTAACCAAAGCCAACATTTTCTGAAACCACTATCGGTATAAGCTCATCTCAAAAACTCAGTTTTTACTTGAGTACTAATTGTTTTTATTTTCTACCAGTATCAACGGTGTTCCTCCAAAGGTCCGTAAAGTCCTGCAGCTGCTCCGTCTCCGCCAGATCTTCAACGGTGTGTTTGTCAAGTTGAACAAGGCTTCAATCAACATGCTCAGGATTGCAGAGCCTTACATTGCTTGGGGGTAAGCCCATAATCAATAAAAATGTCTGTTTTTTTGTTTCGGTTGGAAAGTGGTTAATGATGCAGAACTTTTTTCCCCGTCATATCGACCATGGTGAAAATTTGCTGATACTAAGCCAGTTTTGTCTGAAACCACGTTCCATTACACTTTATGTATTTTTATTTTTTTTGCTAACAATTGTTATGTACAGATCTGATTATTCGACTGTGTGCCAGGTTATTTATTCTTGTCATTGGGCCAAAGTTTGTACACAGATGCAGGTAGCTGTTCCGAATTTTTTAAACATTCTGTTTTTGAAAAGGTCTTAGATGAGTATCGGAGCATCAAGCCAGTGTTAAGTGGAGGCAGGTTTACATGAAGATAAAAAGAAAAGTTTAAAGGGTGATCGTTTCTTACCTTAACGTTGATGTTTGGTCCTATAATGTTAGATGGCTAACTCAAACATCAGTTCATTTTTTCTTTGTAGAAATTTCTGTTAATTCACTTCCAACAGGAGCGAACAAGATCTGTCTGTCTGGACACAATGCATGGTCGTCTTTCATTACACTGCCGTACACATCAACTAAGTACCTCTATTTGCTCATGTCACAGAAAAGTCCAAGTCTAAGCATCCAAAGTTGATGCCAGAACTGTTCCTAATCTGACACCATCTTGTTTTTTCTCTGTCATTGGGGAAAGAAAAGCTCCGTCGTAATGGTGCTAAGCCCCAACTTCTCTTAACATAGAGTGCTGTTATTGGCTCAGTCCAAACGTAGCTGAGCCAATAGACCTGCTGTGGCTATAATGGAGTCTGGCCTGCAGAGCAAAATCTTCTGCTACTGCTACAATTTGCAGGGTTTTTCCTGTGTTCAAATTTGCGTAGCGGCCGCCTCCAGCTAATTTTGTGCCGCCCCAGCCTGATTTCACTCTGCCTCCAGCTATATGGATGTTATTTTAACTGCAGTTGCAGCGTTGCGCCACCAAAAAGCACTAAAACCGCTGCAGACAAAGATCAAAACTAGTTTTTCTCGCTGGTTGATACATATCTGTGGTTGGTGCTATTAACGTCCTGATTTTCCCCCAGGCTCTTCCATATCAGAGCAGGGCTGTACAGTGCGACGATAAAAACTGTCTGTGCGTGTTTGTCTGTTTTTAAATGTCGCACTGGTGCAACATCTTTGAATTACTATTTTCCCCAGAAATTTATTGAAGTTACGTGTATAAAAAAAAAGCTTTCTACTGGCCCACAGTGTGGTAATCTGGATGCAGTGGAGGAAAATAAAAGAACCAGCAAAGGCAGAACCGGTCCAAAGTTTAAGATCGAAAGTGTAGTTACACACAGATTGGCTAATGCTAAAGCTAACGGGTTGCAGTCTCACGATCAAGTGGCGCACAGAAAAAAAATGATCGTAAAACTATGAAAGACTAAAACTCTACACACGGATGAAAAGTCCCACCATCCTGTTTATTCTGCATCCAGCAGTGCTACGGATCAGAACCGCTGCAGATACGCGTCACATTACTGCTACAAGTCTGCTCCACACACAGGAGCAGGAAGTACGGCAAGCCACTGTAGTATATAATTCACAAACGCTTCTATCTTTGAACATATTTGAACTGGATTATTGCCAACCCGTACATAATAGACATGCCACCATTACATTGTTAGCAGCAGAAATTAAATGTTATTACCATTTCCAATACAAATGCCTGTTATTGAAATGCATTATATTTTACTGGATATATTTGTGTTATTTTGACTAAGATGAGTGTTAACACAAACCTAAAATGTTACTGAAATGTAGGTCAAGTATTTAAAAATATCTAACTATGAATGTCAGATGGGAAAAAACAATCTAATGCTTATCATCGAGCCTTTCATAATAAGAGTCTGTTATTTCAGCCTGATGACTTTGTTGTTTTATTTCATATTTTTTAGCAGCAAACCAGTTTTGTTTCACCTAAAACGTTGTCAAATGGAATATTCTATTAATCAACAGAAGCTTAGATCAGAACACTTAACAAAAAAAATATTTTGCCTTTAAAAAAGTGAGGCAGTTAAATGCAGAGTATGCATGTGCTGGCGCATGGTCAGGATGGTACCACCTCTGCCTCAGTTTGAGCCAGGAAAAACTTTAATTTTGACATGATGTCTAACTTGATCAGATTACAACATAAGACATGTAGCACAGACTTTTTATTTATTTATTTTTACTCCTTGAGGCATAGTGGTGCATTTGTCTCTAGTTGTTGCACACCCTTTAGCGGTTTGTTGTATAGACAAGAATACAAATCTGTACTCGGCACGAGCGTTAACAAAAGGAGCCACATCTAACGGAAGTCAGATTAGTGAAAATAAGTTCTCAAGTTCATCACTCTCGCTGCAGTTTGGTCTTTGATAGTGAGATCTTGTCATTTAGTTAATGATGTGATTTTTAAACCAGAAGTGCTTTCTTGCCTGTATTGGTGGTGCTCAGAGGGGCCGACGGCACCAAATGGCAGCCTTGCCTCTGTCAGTTGTGACTACATAGTAGCTTACCATCACTGGCAGTGTGCAAATGTGAGTGCATGAAAGTGTCTGAGTGTCCTAAAAATGCTTTATAAGTTTGACGTATTATTCATGTAGGAAGAAGTCCTGTGTTCATCTGTTTATCCCTTTAAGTCAGAATATAAAACAAGGTGCTACCGGAACATTGTTCATTTCACTGTGAAGTTAGGTGAAATAACTTAATGAGAATGTGTATTTTAAAGCAATGCATGCAACATACGTTTGAAGTACAATAAATAACAGTTTAAAGACCCAAGTTCACTGGAAAAATTATCTGTCACTCTTCTACTAGTCTGCAACCCCTATTCCCTGCATTAGCTTGGAAACTAGACCGGGAAACTTGTGTCAGAAAGCCAGTGACATTTGAACATTGTCAAAATAGCATTCGTGAACCAAACATCTTGGCTCAGAACCGGGGATGGTGGTTTAGCATCCGAAATAGAGCTGAGAGCATCTAGGCTAGTGGAAGCTAACCGTTGCCATTAGCATTTCTACTACACAGCTGGGCTTCTTTAGGCTTATTTGTGGAGGTAAAACATCAATGTTGCAAAGCTAACAGTCAGAAGTAAGAGTAAAACTCCTCTGCTCTGACTAATTTCTAGTTCCTAAAACAGGAACACAAAAGCCACCCCCCTGACAAGTGTGTAATAAAAATAAATCGAGACATATGTGCAAGGCATTTGTTAAAAAGCTTTTTTTATAGCATCAACGCTTCTTAGATGAAAAGCTATTGGTGTATTCTAACCTATTATGTTTTGCTCAGATACCCCAACCTGAAGTCTGTGCGTGAGCTCATCTACAAACGCGGCCACGGCAGGATGAGGAAGCAACGCATCGCCCTCACAGACAACGCTCTAGTGGAGAAGGCTCTCGGTGTGGATGCACACACACACACACCTATCCCAGTTTAACCTTGCTTTAGGGTCATTACGCATGCACCCAGTCAACTTGATCAATATTAGCAGTTTAATTTCACAAAAAATGACAACTAAGTAAAAGATCAGTTTGGCATTGGTGGTTAATGATGCACACTTTTTTCCCCGTCTTATCGACTTTGGTGAAAATCACTGAACTTAGCCAGTTGTGTCTGAAACCCCATGCCACTAGCATTCACTCTTTTATGGACTCGCTGATCAGGTTTGACACGGTAAAGATGACAAACCAGCAGTCATACTTCCACCATAAATATAGAAAATTATGATTATAAATATGATTTCAAACCATTTTTCTTTTTAATCTGCAGGCAAGTATGGCATCATCTGTGTTGAGGACCTCATCCATGAGATCTTTACAGTTGGCAAGAACTTCAAACCTGCCAACAACTTCCTGTGGCCTTTCAAGCTGTCATCTCCCCGTGGCGGTATGAACAAGAAGACCACACATTTCGTGGAGGGAGGCGACGCTGGCAACAGGGAGGATCAGATCAACAGACTGGTCCGAAGGATGAACTAAATCTAAGGTAAGCTGAAGGAAAGCTGTGCAGATCCTGGAGATAAACACAACTCCTGATAACGTGGTTTATGATGTACAAACTTTTTTCCCCGTCTTATCGACTATGGTGAAAACCATCTGATAATAAGCCAAACATGTCTGAAACCACAGGTTTATAGTAAGGGTATTCGGTGCTTTTATGTGTATGTGGAAGCATTATGTGGTTTTTGTATTAATTTTTTTCTTTTTTCATTTTTCAGGTTTTCAAAGGACTCAAAAGTACAATAAAATGTGGAAAACAACTATTGGTGTCATGAATGTTACTTTTCTGTTTTATAATTACATGTATAAAAGTTTCTGATGGTCTCTTGTGCAAAGTTATTGGTACTACTTTATACTGCTAATATGTCCTCAGCACGAAGAAACATTATTTGGGGATTAAAATGAGTTTCTCATTGTCTAAGTTCAGCAAAAATGATAAAAGAACCACAATGAGCACTAATACTGCAGAGTGGTTTAAAAGGTGTTTTGGGGATGATAAAATATATGGGATTAAAATACTGTCTATAGTACTCAAACTTCTATGCTCCAATGTAAATTTTCCACAAAGAAAACTTGGACGGATAAAATGAGACTTTACTATATTAAACCGTGGTATCTAGACAAACGTTCGATAGTTTAGCATTAATACTTCAACTGGATGCCTTATTTGTAGCTTTTTAAACGCATTTTGCATGTTTTACATAATATGTTTACTTTTCTGGGAAATCACGACAAAACTATCGAATATGTGAAAGAATTTAGTAATGGAGATCTTTAGGTACGCCTCGCTCTCAACCGAGTTATCACTGCGGGCTAAGTCCACGGCTGTTTCCATGGTGACGCAGTTAGCATTTACCACAGCAGCTTAGCATCACCGCTCAGGGATAGCTGGGTCTAGCCTTCCACCAGGCAGACTGTTTTATTGCGTTATTTACTGAAGGATGATGTCCACCGTAGCTGTTGAAGAAGCAGCTCCGCCATGATGCCTTTCCAGGTAAACCCTTCACTACCCACCGCCAAGGTTTTCATATCCGGGGGGAGCTTTAGCTGCGGCCTGGCGGATGCTCCGGGATTCTCTGCTTACCGGACCTACGGGATGGGAGCCGGAGGAGAGCGAGCTGCTTTAAGGCGCAGTCAGATGAGAAAATTTCCTTTCATGTATCCGCTGAACAGTGAGTTAAAAATAAGTATCGATTAATGTGTTTGTATCGGTTACTCGAACAGCTAGCTTAACTGTTTTGTATTCTAGATTCCAGGAACGACAAAACCTTCCTGAGCAGCTTCATAGTTAAAGGGTAAGATGAAGTAACAGGAACATTTATACCAAAAGTATACATGTGAGACTATAAATCTACTGAATTTCCACATAGGTTACTAAAGAGAGCTAATTAATATATCATTCATTTTTCATGATGGCCCAGTTTACCATTGAAAAGCATTGAATTCCGATTTTCAGTGACGTAATCTAGTCAGACCCGGCAGGAGGCAAAGATGAAGAAATGGTATCTTAAATAGCGCCGCTCAAGATAAAAATCACAAGGTGCTTCACAAGAATAAAAATAGAAAAATATTTTTAAAATGATTTTAAAAAATATAAAAATGAGGGAAAACAATTGTGATCAGTGGATAGTTTTGTCGTGATTTCCCAGAAAAGTAAACATTTTATGTAAAACAAGCAAAATGCGTTTAAAAAGCTACAAATAAGGCATCCAGTTGAAGTATTAATGCTAAACTATCGAATTGGTGGAAAGAGCTGAATGAGGAGAGGGTAGCGAAGGATCAATGATCAGGCTGGAACAGGAATGAACTTAAACAGAAAGATGGTTAAATCTTGCCAGACAACAGACAAATGATGCTGCCTTGGTGTCAAAGGTCAAACACAGGAGCTAGACACGATGTAATTAGATTACATCTGTGAGTATTCAGATTTGAAAACTGGAGGGTTGAGATTTACTGTTTCAGATCTTTTTGACTAATTTAATTGATAAAAATAAAGTTTTGGACAGGAATAATGGTGACCTCCATAATTAACGACAAAAGCAAATATGTATCCATCAAAACATTGCTTTCTAAAAGAAAAGTTTCACACCAAATACCAGTTAGACCCTTGTCAGGTAATTGTTCTTAATTTAATTTTAAACTAAGTTCTACGTCTTTCCTGAATCAGAGCACCAGAGCTGATGGAGGAGAAGCTGGAGTCAGAGGGCATCCACCAGAGGAGCGACCCGTTTGGGAAGCTCTTCCTGTTTGATAAAGCATGTACCGGTAAGTGCCTGTTGGAATGAGGCTTGTGGGTGTTTTAAAACTCCCAGCCACTAGGAGGCGCTGTTATCACACAAAAGGTTTTTTGGGTGAACATGTCCTTGAATTTAGGTTGCATATCATTTATTTTCAGCCCAGACATAATGAAACTGTTTCCTGTTATTGTGATTAGGTTCCACGTTAGAGGGGAACAGAACCATGTTCCCTCCGCTGCCAAGATACTTCCATGGTCACAGATCTGCTAACCTGCATCCCTTCAAAGTCTCCAAGGAGCTTTCCCACAGCCATGCAGGACGACCTTTCACCCTGAGGTAACCACTGGATCAACATCAGCCTACTGGTGTTCCTCTGGCTTATTCTGAAGCACAGATCAAATAATGCAGATTTTATTTTTTCCAGTTACCCTAGAAGAGACGAGGCGAACTCCAGTCCAAACATCTTACCCTCTGCTCTGGTCGTTAATGGCAGGAACACATTCCCTTTAGAGAAATGCAAGCTCACCAGGTATTTAAACTAAATTCAGCCTAACCCATCTGTTCTTTCTCAGCCACGTCTACTGTCCCTCTGTTCTTTAGGCCCAAGGTGCATTACCCAGCCTACCACCCAATGACTGTTAAAGACAATCAAAAATGTGAGTTGAAAGAGTCGCTTTCATCCTGAAAGTTCAAGTTTAGTTTTTCTAAATCATGAGAAACTGGAAGGTTAATGATGGATTGTCCTCCTGCATGCAGGCCCGTCCTATCCAGACCCAATGAGGGGAGCCCCCCGTGCTTACATCCAGCGGGTATCCGAGCTTTCCTCTCTGCAGGGCGAGACGACGAGGCAAGAGACTCTCAAGAGAATGAAAAAGTCACGAAGACCCCCTTCCTGACAATCACCTCCTTCCGAGTCGCAGCGCTCCAGGATAAAAACGGCTGAATCTGTGCCAACGGCCGAAGAAAATAAAGCATTTAGGGATCCATATTCATTTCCGTTTCTTGTTCTGACTGCGTGTTTGTCCTCGGCGATATTACTGGGCTGCTTAACATGGCTGATCTTCACATTGTGGGACTCCTGACTCTTCTTCAGCGATGAACTATTGAATCTAGCATTTCTGACGATTACGCTGAGAAAAACACTTCTAGTCTGACACGTTTGTCAGTAGTTGTCTCCTCAACACCTGCATGAAGACGAGTTTTATTTATTCTTCTAAAAGCTGGTGAAGACGGTTAGCTAAGACGTATGTCTGTGAAGGTTCTCAGTCATCCAGGTCATTGTAGTCTAAGGAGCTTTGAAAGAAAAGCATCTGGGCTTCTTGACGTTCGCTAAGACGTTTCTGCTCAGAAGGCTGTTGCTGCTGTTCAGCTTGAATGACAACAGTGTTGGACACATCAAACATTTAAAGTTAAATATTTATGTATATAGTTTAGCCAAACTCTTATTGTGCCTTGTTAAATGTCTTCCTGAAACTAAATAAATTAATAATTTTTTTTATTTTATTGTCCTTTCTTTCTTCCAATTTAAGACGGGCTGATGAAAAAATAAATTTACAGATCGTCTGAATAAACAGAGACCACCCAAACAGTCAGAACGCCTTCAGTTCTGTAATGAACCATTAGCTGCTTTCCATTTCTACAAGATGTATGGAGAAATGTGCCCACAGATCCCAGAATGTGGTACTTTTCCCCACATCCAGCATTGTGGTACTGTTGGATGAAGCTCAGCTGTGTCCCTGAATAGTTCATTTTATTTGGCTTAGGCAACAATTAGGCCAGCTGTTGTTTGTTTAGACCAAAGAGTCTGAAGTTCATGTGGACCTTTTTTTTTCGCTCTTAATTAAAGCAAATTAAAGTCAATTTTTTGATGGCTATCTCAGTTAGATTTAGTCCAAAACAGAATTTATTTTTTGTTACGATTTTTTTATTAGGAAGTAGTGTGTGTGTGTGTGTGTGTGTGTGTGTGTTTATAACATAACTAACAAAACAAACGTCCTTGAGCCAGAGGTCCACAATCTGAGGGTCTTTGTTTATTCTACGGTGGTGTTTGAGTAACCCCACCCCACAAGAGGCTGAAAGCACCGCCTCATACCACACACCAGGGGCGGATTTAGGACTGAAGAAGATCCGGGGCTTAACACACACGCGCACAAACGCGCATGCGCGCACACACGTGACACGCACTAGTCAACATCATATATATATATAAATCTTGTACCACATAATGTTTAATCTGAAGCTACATATTCAGCATATTCAGGGCAGAGTATTGTTCCTGTTAGTGTTTAGTGTGAGATGATAGTAAATATTCCCTTCTTTCTCCAACAACTTTACCTGATAGTAAGCTAACTTTAGGCAAACCAGCAGCACAACAAATATTTTCAAATAAGACTCACAAACCTGAGTCAGCACCAGTCTCATCAGAGCTGGAGTTCTGTCGTTGTACTTTTGGTCTAAAAAACGTCCTTATGTCCATCTTCTTCACTCATGCGTTTCAGGCAGAGAGTGTAGAAGAAGCCGGCTGCTGAAGGGATTTTCTTCTGTGGTGGAGGCTCAGGCAGGCTGTATACCGACTGAGTGGCCTAGTGGTAGAGTGTCCGCCCTGAGATCGGGAGATCAGGGTCTGCAACTCACATCCCCCCCAGGGGATGGGTCAAATGCGGAGGACTTTGATACTGCATGTTACTTACGCGATTTAGATCCGGGGCTTATCATGAAAGATCCGGGGCTTCAGCCCAAGTAGCCGGGCCTAACGCCGCCCCTGCCACACACGCGCAGGAAAAGCCGAGTCCAGAGAGCGAGATAATGAATTGCATTGAAGAAACTGCAATATGCGAGTAACCAAACAAAACAAGAGAAACATACTTGCCATTGTCTGTTTCTGGTGTAGCAGGTGTCACCACAAGGTGTCTCTGTGGCCCTGAAGGTGAGAACCCTTTAAAAAGGAACTGGCTGGCTGCCAGTAAGTGCCAGTTTCCTGTGGGAGGCCAGGGTGTGGCAATTTGTTGGGTAAGTCCACTTTTGACTTTATTGTAGATGCTTTTAAATGTAGCATGGATATTTACTTTTATGGTATGATCGGCTGACAGGGTCACAGAGTTTTAAGGTCAGACGGCCAGATGAGACGCTGACTGAAAAGAGCCGTGTGTGAGGTGTTTGCAAGACACAGGTACAATGTTTTAAGTTTGTTTTTAGTGGATATATTAAACCTTGTGTTGCAGCTTTAAGGCAAGGACAACTACTGGAGTTGCTTTCTCACATCATCTGTTTTATTTCGACGTCAAATCACTGAAAACGTACAGCAGCTCCTCTCCTGCTCCTCGCCTTGTGCTGCGGGTTGAACAGACTCCAGAGACGTTCGAGGAACGTCCGTCAAAGCAAACACATCAACGGGGTGTTCAATGCCATCTTGTGATTATGACTACTCTTGCAAATTAACAGTTCAAATGAAAAATAGACAGAATATACAAACAGTATAAATAAGTGTGGGGTATCTTTGAACCAATGAACAATTCATAACAGTTTATCATTTTAACATGTCCCAACCCATCCATATTTGTGTCTCTCACACTTGGTACATTTTATGGCTTGATTTTAGTTGTGTATTTCTGTTTTTACAGTAATTCATTGCTACCTGCTGTCATTGTTTGGTTGTTTATTTCTTTTGTAATTGTTAGTCTGTCTCAACTAGCTTTGTTGTCTTAAGGCAGTTGGGGGTGGTGGTGGACTAACAATTACATTTATCTATGTAATTTGTTTGGTCACCTCCTACACCTTAGCTGAGCTGTTATAAACTGCTAATTAAGCCCGTCTGTAATCCTAGCAGGAGGCAGTGTCAGTAATCTTAAACCACTGGGAAAATAAAGATAGTTAACTTTAAGTTGAATCTGCCTGTTTCTTTGGTCACACAACACTGGTTTAGAGGTCTTTCAGACTGTCGGTGATACCGCTGCCATCTTTTTTTCTGACAGGATCTCAGAATGAACCTGTTGAGAATTAGAAGGTTTGTTTTTTTGCCATGTGTGCGAGAATCACAACATCAGTAAGCTGTTGTACTGTACTTGGTGCAAAAAAGGAAGATATTAATGAGAGATAAGAAAAAATAAGAAGTAAGAATATAATCATGATAAAATAACAATATAAAGTGGCAATAATTAGAGAAATGGCTGCTATATACAAGACAGTGTAGGTACTAATCAGAGCGGATCAGTTCAGGTACAAACACACCAGGTCAGGCGACTGGAACCAGGCGACTGGAGTGAGCAGACCTAGGATTGTCGTTCATGAGTCCAACCGCAGAGGAAGAAACCATTCTTGGTGCGAGACGTTCTGGTCTGAATGGATCTGAGCCTCCTGCCAGGTGGGAGAGAGTCAAAAAGACTGTGTCCAGGGCTCTTCTGTTAGTGATCTCTTCTATTGACGCCATGTTTGTTTCGGTTCTACCCAAAGACTGTAGAAATACTCGACAAACCTATTACTTTCTGCGTGGCTCTTATGAAGCCAAATGGACCGTTCCAACCGCTGCCATCTTGTGTGTGTCACACCGACCTCTGGCTTTTCTGTCAGAAAGAAACTGAGGTTTTCACACAAATGCAAGAGAACCACTTCATCTTTTTTTCTTTTAATCTCCACAGTATAGCTATAATATGTTAGAACATTGTTAAGAGGCACAAAAAATATGTTTTAAGCTAATTTGTTTTCCAAATTTGCCATTGTGGCTTTGATTCAGCAAAGTAATGCCCAGTTTATATTTCTTTGTCTGCGGAGGTGTGGAGACACACGGCACTGCTATCTGTATTTGCAAGAGCTCTCCAACAGGCATGCAGAGTGAGCCCAATTCTGAACTATCCATGGAACACAACAAAGGGCACACGTCTGTGATTGGTCGGCCCAACAAAAGCGTCGGTGGACGGATATTCCTCCAATGCTGCTGTCTCCTTTGCTCCTGTTGAATTATATGTATCAAAAAAAAAAAATTTCTCGAGATCAAAATCGTCGTCTTCCTCCGCTTATCCGGGTCTGGGTCGTGGGGGCAGCATCCCAACTAAGGAGCTCCACACCGTCCTCTCCCTGGCCACCTCCACCAGCTCCTCCGGCAGGACCCCAAGGCGTTCCCAGACCAGATTGGAGATGTAACCTCTCCAACGTGTCCTGGGTCGACCCGGGGGCCTCCTGCCGGCAGAACATGCCCGAAACACCTCCCCAGGGAGGCGTCCAGGCGACATCCTGACCAGATGCCCAAACCACCTCAACTGGCTCCTTTCGATCTGGAGGAGCAGCAGTTCTACTCCGAGTCCCACCCGAATGCCCGAGCTCCTCACCCTATCTCTAAGGCTGAGCCCGGCCACCCTACGGAGGAAACTCATTTCGGCCGCTTGTATCCGTAATCTTGTTCTTTCGGTCATTATAAGCTCATCACCATAGGTGAGGGTAGGAACGTAGATCGACCGGTAAATCGAGAGCCTGGCTTTCTGGCTCAGCTCCCTCTTCACCACGACAGATCGGCTCAGCGTTCGCATCACTGCAGACGCCGAACCAATCCGCCTGTCGATCTCCCGATCCCTCCTACCCTCACTCGTGAACAAGACCCCAAGATACTTAAACTCCTCCACTTGAGGTAGGACCTCTCCCCCAACCCGGAGTTGGCAAGCCACCCTTTTCCGGTCGAGAACCATGGTCTCAGATTTGGAGGTGCTGATCCTCATCCCAGCCGCTTCACACTCGGCCGCGAACCTGCCCAGCAAGAGCTGAAGGTCAGAGCTGGATGAAGCTAGGAGGACCACATCATCCGCAAAAAGCAGAGACGAGATTCTCCTGCCACCAAACTCGACACACTCCACACCACGGCTGCGCGTAGAAATTCTGTCCATAAAGGTAATGAACAGAACCGGTGACAAAGGGCAGCCCTGGCAGAGTCCAACTCTCACTGGGAACAGGTCCGACTTACTACCGGCAATGCGGACCAAACTCACGCTCCTCTGGTAAAGGGACTGAATGGCCCTTAACAGAAAGCCACCCACCCCATACTCCTGGAGCGTCCCCCACAGGGTGCCCCTGGGGACACGGTCATAAGCCTTCTCCAAATCCACAAAACACATATGGATTGGTTGGGCAAACTCCCATGCCCCCTCCATCACCCTTGCAAGGGTATAGAGCTGGTCCACAGTTCCACGGCCAGGACGAAAACCACATTGCTCCTCCTCAATCTGAGATCAAAATCTTCCAGCCTAATGAAAACTTGTTCTTTGTCGGCCATTGCTCCTTGAGTGGGTTGGCGTTTACAAGCTCCTTTTTTTCCTAACTATTTTACCAGAACAGGAATAATGGCGAATTCCAAGATCAACACAGTAATTTAAGATTTATATTTAAATTCCCACCTCTTTCAAGTTTTTTGCGTTTACCGTTGAGGTAAGTAAACTTGTGGACCAGAGGCATCACTAATGGTAGGCAGACCCGCCAGAAAAGGTCTACGCCCTCTGCTGTCTCGGTGGAGAATTT